GTCGTATCAAGGAAGACAACAACAATAACGGGACCTAAACAGTACACAAAAAAGTATGTCCCGTTAAATTCATAAATAAAAAAAGAAACATCAGATATCCTCAGACGCATGCATTGCTTTGAGGCACGAAAGGCCGCATAATTTAGTGCTAGAAGGTTGATTGCAATTTAGACACTATGAATTGAGATTTAGAACGGATAACAACAGATAAGTTAAATTCTGATCACTGCATGCCTAGCAGTGCTCATGGCTTCTTTTTAGCTGCCTCTTCTGCTTCTGCGGCTTCGCGCTCTTCCTCAACCACTTTCATGAGCGCCTCAACCTCTTCAACAGTAAGAACACGATGTGTGCATTCACCAGGCTGAAGAAAGTGACCATTAGCATCATGCAAACGATAAGAAGTTGGAAAAAATAAAGAAAATAAACAGAAAACAATTACACATAAATAACTTACTACGTCAGTTGTCTTCATCACAGCAATTTCTATATTTTGTGCACCTGACTGAACGACCTGAAACATTCGAAAATGTGTTAAGAATCGTAATCTATGAGATAATGATTTTTTCAAATTAAAAGAGATTAATTTGTAAATGTTAGGCCGCAGCTTTCTGAAACTTCAAGTCACAGATAGAGAACCCGCGAAGTCATTGAGAGTGTACGGCTATATAAATAGAGAAAATCTATGGAAAAGAATAATACAAAGACTGCGAAAATATGATGATAACACTTTCCAGAACGGTAAAGATATAAACATACCTGCGAGAGAGCCTTCACAACAAGCTTGAGAGTGGACGCTTCATCCTTGATAGTGTCGTCACTATAGTGCTCCTCCAAGTACTCACGAACAGGTTTTTCACCACGACCAGTAGAATTTGCCTGAAATAATTTCAATCACATTTTGTATGAAGGTGAGGTCAAACGCACAAGATATTCGTAGTACGCTCCAGATGGTTCAGTTTTGAACAGACGTGGATGACCGTCAAAATCGAAGCCGCCGATCAACATCGAAATGCCAAACGGCCGACGACCAGGAGATTGCGTGAATTTCTGGAAGTATGTATGATAAGAAAATGCAAACAGTGATATTTGGAAGACGATAACTTGCCTGCTTAGTGTTTGCAATATATCTAGAAATGTAAGCTACAGTTACAGGATCTTCGAGAGTGAGCTTGTATGACTGACATTCGATTCGTGCACGATCAACCAGTACTCGAGCATCAGCTGAGAGGCCTGTAGAAATAAGTAAACATCAGAAAAGGGATTGAATTCAAACCATGAAAGATTTCAGCATCGAACATCAAGATCTTGCAGTCTCGACAAATATGAAAGGTT